TGGAGTAATTAAATTACCAAACTACATAAATACATAACTCCATGGTGACATCATCCCTACTTTTTAACATTATCATTCGTGGCTTTGCTGTGATATTTTCTAATAATATTCCGATAAAATTCTTGGTACAAATTTCCAATAAGATTTTTAATAACAAGGGGTTATAGCCTAGTAGGGTATAACGTTATACCCTTTTGTTGACTTTAATAATTTGTCAACCATTTAATAATGGCTAATAATAATGTAATAATATTTACTTTGCTGTATATATCAGTTATAAGCCATTAACACTCAGATCTTGTGCTTACATTTCAGAAAAAAAGTAGACTTACTTTCCACCACTGTAAACTAAGAACAATTTCTGGGTTGCTAGATCTTGGCTGATATTTATCCTCCTTTTGTGTCACACTTGCTTTGTCTTGTTATCTCCTTTGGTTCCTCAAACTGTTTGACCTCTGACCTTCTGGAATGCAGCGCATTTGGATCAAAATCTGTTTATTAACAATTCTTTATTCACAATCACAGATTAGAATTATTAAACCTTTCATTACTTGTGAACATTTAATAACACAGATGACTGGCTAACTTTTGCTGCTGGCTTATTAGCATTTTGCACTCTTGACTCTTAATAACATTTATAACTGCAAATTTAATTGTTTATCACCTATTATTAGTAACTTACAACCTTTATGCAAATGTGATGTCTTAATTTAAAAAAGTCACCCTTTAGACAGAAGTATCACAACCTGGCAAGTATTAAGTAATCCCCAAAACTATTATTAAGGTCCTCACTGAACGATAACTTCCTACAAACATGCTTATAGAAACCCATTATGGATGATCTACAGTGATCCGATACCTTTTTAATGCACAGTCATTTCCCTTTTATCTGCATGTGTTGAAATAAACAGCGCTCATAATGTAGCATGATGTGTGTTTACGGTTCAGTCAAAAGCAGCACAGAACACAGACGTGTTTAACCTTAATCTAAAGGTGGTAAAAGCTTTTGTAAGTCTGATGTCTTCTGGAAGTTTATTTAGTTTGCAAACTGGGAACATTTGGCAGCTCTTTACCTGATGACCTGAGAGGCCGAAATGGTTAATTTGGTGAAAGACAGTCAAAGATGTATTTCCCAGTCCATTGAGAGACAAGCAGGCTCTATTCTCTGACAAACTGAAAGAAACCTGAGAACTGATGGGACCTGTTTTATGCTGTTATAGTATTTCTAACCGGCTGGAAAGGATCATATCGATAAGTTTCTGCCTGGAAAAGAATCCTCTGATTCTCGCTATGTTTCTAAAATTGTAAAATGCACACTTTGTACTTGAATGAGGCTGTTTTTTGACTTGCTTTTGAATTTCAGAGCGCAAACTTTCAGCCTCCCTTCGTCTGTGAAAAAGACAATTATTATCTTAGTTTTGTTTACATTTTGCTGCAGAGAGTCCAGGCACTTAATTATTTGTTGTTTAATTCCCTTGCAGAGAGAATGTATGGGCCTGGAGTCGTTCGGTAACAGAGAAAGGTACATTTGTGTGTCGTCTGGATGATTATGATATTGAGCAAGACACTGAACCTCAAATTTCTCAAAATGCATGCAAAAAGATTGAATGTCGCTTTAGACAAATGCATCTGCCAAACCAATAATATAATGTATTGTAATCATTATTTCCAGTGGTATCCCTATAATTGTGTACACAGTATGTTTGTGGTGCCTTGTACTGACCATGTTCTCGTTATTTGGCTTGCTGACTTTCCTGTGGAATCTCTGTCAGCTCTGCATAATGTACACTGTGGTAAAAAATGAATGCTAAATATTACCCTCGTCAAATTCCCAAGGTGAAGCAAACTCCCTGTCCCTCCCACATTTGTACCAATCACTTCAGAACTTGGACGCACTGCGTGACACCCTGTCAAACATCTGGCCCTTCCTCGCACTGCAAAGATTGACATAAATACACAAATGAGGCACGGAAACCTTTTATCTGTGTATCTTATTACACGGTGAAACTGCAAGTCAGAGCTGTATTTCTGATTCCCGAGATGATGCACAGAGCTGTAAACAAGTCCTCTGGGACGCCGCTCAAAAAACAGAACCAGATGGGAGAAAACAATTCACAAAAGAACACATTCTCCACAAAAAGTTGGGCTATTGTATCTCCTAACTAGATACAGAAAACAGCTGTTTTGGTCTCTTTTGCTTGACATCCTTTTCTCTTTCTGACTCTCTTCCTCCTCAGGTGCAATAAACTCTTTCAGACATATTCTAGACATTTTCTCCCAGTAGACATTTAGACTTTTAAGGAAAAACCACAGGTGTTGCTAATAACATTAACAAAGGCTCCGTTCTATTCAAGTGTCCCAGTAAACCATGAAAGTGTGACAGTGTGACAGTGAGCCAACATATACAACACCAGGACCTAAAACTGGAGCAGCTAAATGAAATGCAGCCTTCATTCATCATTTACACCTGTGCTTTCATGCTGTGGCATCTGAAAACGATAAAAAAGGCATTGGTACGGTGAGATCATCCATCATATCATTATGAACAGAAGTTAATTAAAGCGAAATCTAATTTAATCAACTCTAAACATTTAACTGGAAATGACATGGTGATGATACAAATCAGGCGATTCTGAGCCCCATATTTTCCATGGGATTCATCCAGTGTTTTTAATTTAAAGAAAATGTTTCTCCAATATATAAATTTGCATACATTTGACTTCATCATAATACCGTGGCTGCTAAACTAAGGGTAAATCTGAGCGGTCACAATGTGATTAACAAGCTGTGAAATGAGAAAAGAAAGGGCCTTTAAATACCTCTGAATAGTCTAACTTTCTCTATTTGATGAAATGCTCACAACTCAAAGACATTCACATTGTGATGAGGGGTCAAGAGCGGATATTGCTTCACTTTAATTGTCACAAGCCTAAAAAGGTTGGAGACAACTGTCATACCAAGAACAGCACAGGTGTAATAAAACATAAATACCGACTGTATTACAGTAAGATGTGCTGTAAGGTTCCAGTGTCCTGGCTGGTGTTATGGATGCTGGCCTGTTGGGACACTTAACGCACCATTTCATTCCTTGCAGACATTTTTATTGGCATTCTGTTGCTAATGCAACAGCTTTCTTCCAAGTTTATTTCCTGTCTCCTACTGCATTAGTAAACATCGCAACAGGAAATACAAAAGGAGCATTTTGAATGTTTATGCTGTCACGTTTAAAAAGGTCTTTACAGTATAGCAAAATGGTGTGGAGTGAAAAAGGTGTGTTGTACAATACCTGTACACTAGATGTCCTCAGCGAGTTTCCGGACTGTGTTGATCACCTGACTCTCTTTGACCACCTGCTGGCACAGCTGTTGTTTATTTACTCATTATTTCTTTATGTGTGTGTTGGAGTAGTTTCTCTGCTGCATTTATTAGACTAATGTTGCAAAGTTTGCTAAATGTTTTACGTTGGCTATGTGCTTTGAGATTCTTTTTGACAAATCAAAAACAAAGAGAGGTTTGTGTGAGATAAGACGACCACTCATTTAACAACACTGGCACTCCCACACAGGTATGTTCAATTGTTCTGGCTGATTAGACGCCTGCTCAGGTTGAAATTTGACACAGCTATGAATAGGATTAAGTGAGATTATGATGAAAGTGTAAATTGTCCTACCTTAAAACACCAGTGTGGGTGTAGCATGAGTGTGAAACGTCTTGCTAAACTCCAATATGAAACTTCTTATCTATCTTTAGATGAGGAACCTGAGACAGTACATTCAGGTCATTTGCTGTCCCACATACTGTAGTCAAACCAAAATTACACTTCACTTAGGAAATACAAGAATAATCACTATGAGTATAATCTAGGTGGGTCATAATCCTTTATTCTGACTTTAATGTTTTCTTGTAGCTCATGGCGACTTGATGAATTATGAATGTTCAGTTATTGTTTGGTAAATGTGGAGTTTATCTAAATATCTCCAGTGTCCCCATTCATTTATTTTTATAGAAGCAGCGCCACCTCCTGATTGTTTGTGGTAATACGTCAGTGATCTGTTGCTTTATGTTCTTTGTTTTCAAAAGTACAATATTTAAATCTTACAAATAAATTGAGGATATAAAGAGATAACACTTTTAAGCATGAATTGGACAAAAAGATTGACCAATTTACCACTGTTACCCCACTGATTTAACCCAATTATTTCATGTCAACAGGTTTTTTTCTTTCTTTTTTGTAATCCATAGTTTATTATCCTTCATATTCTGGAGTCAAGCCTGTATTAAAAGGCTTTCAGCAAAGATACAGGTTATTTAGGTGGTGGAGAAATTAGTCATAATCATAGCTACGAATGTGACTATTACTATAGTCAGATAAGGTTATTTTACAAAGATCACTTATGCATGAGTTCTCCACAACAATCACAAAAACAGTTTGGAATATTGGGATGAATCTCTTTAAAATAATTGCATTATAATGTGGCACACGTTATTTAAAGGTCCTAAATGTCTTATTGCCTTGCTTTTGCTGCTTTGTCTGTCAAAGCACTTTGTAAACTCTGTTTTTAAAGGTGCTATATAAATAAAGTTATTATTATTATTATTATTATTGTTATTATTAGAGAGATACAGGTGCCATAATGCTCGTAATCATTCGCATCATCATTTAGTATTGATTTTTATTCATGCCAAGACAACTAAAACCATGACATAAGAAGCGTTTTGAGCATAAATTACAATTGTTCAATAAAAACCCCAATAAAACAAAGTTAAAAGCTCATTTAAAAACAATCAAGACGAATAAGATTTAGCCGGGAGGGACTGATTTTCCAAGACACCAGGGTGAGTACGTTTTAAAGACCGGGTCACACCGGTTTGGAAAGCGCAGTTAGGTAGCATAAAGCCCTGCGTGTTGTAGCGAAAGCTTAGCTACCGCTACCACCCTTCCGGACTGCTCTGTGACACAAAACCAGCTACCCCTGTTCAGTCCTGCGACATTGCCGGTGACGTAAGCTAGCTCGGTGGTTAGAAGAAAGCTAGCTCGCCGCTCAAAGGGGGGTAACATTAAAAGGACGACCTAAAGTAACACGTTCGACCGATTTTACCGAAAGCAAGACATTTTACTCGTAACGGTCGTGGTGAGTATTTTGTCCCCAGACATTTTTTTTTTTTTTAGTTTTTCCTTCCTTTTTTCCTTTTCTTTTTGGATTTTTCTCGACGATGCTTTTTTTTTTTCCATTTTGCAAGTGGACAGAACGTAATGTGCTAGCTGGCTAGCTTAGCGTAGCTAACTCTGAGACGCTCATCCTCCTTTTTGAAAACACAAGCGCTGGTTGTGCTCTTTTTTTTATCGTTTTGAAACACGACGGGTTGGATGCATCTTAGCTACATTCTCGTCTATTTTTGCAAGTTTGTGTAGCTTTGTTTTTGTAGCGTTTTATTGTGAAGACTGAATTGTTTTTGGCACGCTTTGCACCCAGCCCACCAGCTAAGCTAGCCGCGTCAGAGCGTCCATTGTTGTTTTTATAGTCTCAGCTTCACCCTGATTGATTACAGATTATTGACTACGCATTTATCAAGAACTCTGCAGGTTTTGTTTTTTTGCAAACGAGATGACTGATCTTGATTGCGCTGTATTTTTTTGTGATGCTTTGCTGTTTGTGGTTTTGGCTAACGTTAGCTAGCCGTGTTTGAGCTCCCAATGCTAACACAAGGCCCGTGTTTCACACTCCAGCCTGATGGGGGCGCTGTCGGCGTTGTGGGTGTTTTTAGCTACTTTTTGATGATCTCCAGATTTTGCTTTTCCTTTTTTTGTGGAGTAGATTTTTTTTTTTCCGTGTTTTTGTACTTCCTTGGTGGAAGTGTTTTTTGAACTGTCTGTGGCCCCAGTGTTGTTTGACATAACGTTACAAATACACATTTTATTAATTAAACGTTTATTGATCTGAATGAGTATTATGGCTGTTTGTTTATCAACGCCTTCACATTTACTCCTAGGCCGCAGGTACACACATATAAGCCCCGTGTAGTCTTTACATTAGAGACAGAAGCCAATACATTAAATAGTGTTTACATTAACTGGAACTTACGCATAAACCCCAAACACATGGTGCTCCTATAAGATCATGCATTAAGTGATGATGCATCTATCACATTACTGATCTGCATTTTCCTTTAAAGTCTGTCTGAATATCTTCTACTTTCCATGTCCCAGTTTCTAAAAATTTAAATGTTGAAACTCATTTCGAGTATTGATATTGTGTTAAAGATGGTACTTATATTTACCGTGTCATATTCTCCATCTAGTTTAAATTTAGGCTTGCACATATTTTAGAAATCAATAATACCTGTTAAATATAATGAAACTGGTATAATTCCTCAATGTTTAAGGAGTACGACATAAATGGGGCGACCCATGTTTAGACTATATAAATTGGCAAAACTATTAAAGTTAATGAGGTTGCTTATTGTCGTACCACAAGTCACCACAGTTTATTGTTAAATTTGACAGCTGTGATATATTTTAAAGTATATTTACGCAAGTTGTTCCTCTGCTAACGTAACTCTAAAAGGGCATCACCCTCATAAAGTACAAACTCCTCCATCTGTTTCATAAAAGCAACACAAACTAGCACGTGTAGACCAGCTAGGGTCTACCTTTCTCTCCAGTTGGTGATATGATTGTAATGGTTTAGTCGGGTTTAGATTTGTTTGTCTTAAACGTGGATGTGTACAGTATTGTCTCACTTCTAGCTGCTTATGTTTAATAATTAGATTGCACTTAAACAAGCATTGGGGTCAGGTTTGAGTCCCAAAGTGGCCAATTGTAATGGGATTTTCTTAAGAGCCGTGTTACTGTTTTTCTTGTCGCTTAACTCCTGTATACACTCCAGCCAGGTAAGACTTGGTGCAAGATAACCCTGCTCGGCTTGACTGAGGTGTGTTTTCTGTCGCCTCAGTATAAAATCGTGAGGGGCGAAAGGTCGACGCCAGCCCAAACTGATCCCAGCCCACAGTGTCAAACATCAGACGACAGCAGCCCTGCACACAGACGCTATGGAGTGAGTGATGAATGTTAGACTCCCTGTGAGCCGGGGGGGGGGGGGGGGGGGGGGGTTATTGTTGATGCCACTACTGTTTTACACGTTTGCTGTTTTTAAATTCGCTCTGGGCTTCACTGAGGACTGGCATCCTCCCTTTAGTCTTTTAGAAAGCGGTTCCCCAAAATGTGTCTGGGTACCCAATTTCTATACATGACAAACCAAATCACAATAAACCTAAAATTAAATCGCTGTAATCATATTTACAGCCCTTTCATAGCAATTTACGTATATCCTTTTTATGTATGTTATCTAAAACAGACAGGTGTTAAATACTTAAAAAATAAGACCAAATAAATGCATTTAGGCAGAGTTAACTGGATATCTCACTCTTTTCTTTTTGTTTTCTCGTCAGATAAACAAATGTAATGTTAGAAAAAGGCTTCATTTATCAGAACAAAATGAACATCCATGTGGCTCACATGTTACTGTAGACATAAATGTTAAATAAAACTAGAAGTTATTCAAATTTATTTGGCGATCCTAATATTTCCAGGGACCCACTGAGATCTTTTTGTTCTGTGGGAAAGACACAGAGATCACATTATATCGTGGTGTAGCTGAACAGGCGCCCTCTAGTGGTCTAAACGGGGCATTACAGCTAAATGCTAAAATAACTGCTTCTGCCGAGTGAAATGAAACTTGTTTCTGCCTGCTTCACCATCAACCATAATGTAGTCCTGTATAAAAGCACGAATAGACTTGACAATATTTTTAGTTAATGAATAATAAAAAAGACCCTGAACCCATCAGGCCTACTTCACAGTTTAAGAGAATTAGACTCGCTGGTACGTGACGCTGAAAACCTAATTTTCAAAAGCTCCAAATCCTGCAATAAGTTCTGTCATAGTGTCAAAACCAGGTCCTGTGTCTTACACTCATATGAGACATGGATTTTCTATGTCTCAGGTTATTTTTAGATTGTTTGGGACACTGTTTATCATTGAATAAGAGATTAATATTAATTAACTACATTTAATGCAAAGAGTGATTTCAAGGCATCACATTAAGGACGGGTTTAGACACATCTGTCATCAACCAATCACGTTGGTCGTGCAGTTTTCTCCTTTTGTTGTTGGCACTATTTTTATTTTTATTTTTAAAGGTTTTGATTTCCCAGGAAAGCCTGCTGATCGTGTACGCTGTTGTCCTATTTCATGGTCGTCACCCAGCAAAAACAATGGTCCAGAGGGGGGGAATGTTACTCATTCTGCCACTAAATCTGGGGCTTGTGTGTGTCTTCCTGCTTAGTCGTTCACCCACCACCTCCAGCCTGATGGCCAGCAACATCACCAACAAGAACGACCAACGCTCCCTCAACTCGCGGGTCTTCATCGGCAACCTCAACACCCTGCTGGTCACCAAGGCGGATGTGGAGGCCATCTTCTCCAAATACGGCAAGATCGTGGGCTGCTCTGTCCACAAGGGCTTCGCCTTCGTTCAGTTCGCCAACGAGAGAAACGCCCGAACTGCCGTCAACGGGGAGGACGGGAGGATGATTGTCGGGCAAGTACTCGGTAAGGATTTAGTTTTTAAGATATTTTTCATGACTGTACTTGTCTTAAGCTGGTAGGACTGGTTCCCAACCGTGAGAACTTGTGACCCTGTGAAACAAAGCACTATTATTTACGGTGCTTTGTCACAGGTTGCATATGTTTAATAGTAAGGGTTATATTTCCTGATTGAGGTGAGTAAACATTCAGGCATAATGAGGTAATACTAACGAGTATCTCGCACAAGTAAAAAAGCAAAGAGAGAAAAACATACTTGTAGAATTTGAAAAGGCTTTACCGTGTGACTCCTTGGTGCCAAAGCTATGGACAACATAAAAACACATTTTACACGCCGTCACTACGAGTTC